GTGCCTGTGAGCAGCTGTTGGAATCGGCCTTTGGGAATCTTCATAGGCTGGTCAGCCTACTCCTCGGTCTGTCTAGTCTCTGTCCATGAAGAATGGACATCAGTAGGGTTATGGGAGGCAAGGTGGGGTCTGTTCCCTTCACAGGTGGGAGATGTGCTTAGGAAGGGTGAGAGGCTCAGCCCCCATCTCCGGGATTCTCAGTGTTGGGGTGGCTTGGCCTCCTGCCAGCAGCCCAGTCTAACTGGGACAGCCAGGCTGTTCACTGCCTCTGAGCCTGGGGATCTGCTCAGCCCTGTGGGAAAACTCTGTGAGCTTCTTTGCTTACCAGGCCCTGTACGGGGATCTGAGCACATGGATGGATCAGACTAGCCCCGGTGCCCAGGTGGCACTGGCAGACGGGGTAGCCGAGGGACGAGATGCTGGCTACAGTAGGACTGGAGCTGTGAGCGTGTGCAGAGCGTGGGTGTGCTGCAGGGCAAGAGGGCAGATTGGTGCAGGGAATGGGCCAGATGCTCAGCTCCCTGGCGGCCGCACCCAGGTTTGGGAGCAGTTGGGCTGGGTGTGATGCTGGTGGCATCCGATTGCAGCACTGGCATCACCACCTCTTCTGCTGGGCCCCTCCCAGCCACAGCCGGGGCAGAGGAAGTACCCTCTGCTGGGTGGCCAGGGCCGAACCTCATATCCTACCCTCCCAAGTAACTGCACCAGTAAGTGGTGAACTGCATGTCCCAGGTACCTGGCTGGGAGTCCTCAGAGGTCACAAAATTGTCCTCCTTCACTCCGTTTTATAGGTGGGCAAGCTGAAGCCCAGGGGGCGAAGTGGCTTGGCCAAGTCCACATGGGAGCTGGGAGCAGAGCAGGGCCTGGGACCCTCAGGCTTATTGCTGTTTTAGCTCTGCACAGAACACCTGCTCCTGACCGCTGCCATGAAGGCAAGCAGGTCATTCACTCTCCCCATCCTCCCAGCCTGGCTCTGGCTTTGCGATGAGGGGTGAGAGAAGGACCTGGGGTGGGGGCCACGTGTAGGGCAGAGGCAAGCCTTGGGATTGGGCCTGGGTGGAGTCCAGCTTTACCTCTCTGGGTGAGGGACTTTGGCCTTTATTATCATGAAAATGGGGGTGACAGTGCCATACTCTTGGGAGTCTGAGTGCCTGTGTGAGGTCTGTGGGGGCCCCAAAGCTGTAGGCCCTTTGACATTCACCTGTCACTCAGCCCTGCAGGGAGGGCAGGAGCCCAAGGGACCCGAGGAGCTGCCAGAGCAGAGATCAGCCCTCCTGCCACTCAGCAGTCCTCTCAGTGGCCACCCTGGACCAGACTCCAGCAGGACCCTGGGGCCCAGACATGGATGAGACCCAGACCTGGCCCCAGGTAGCTGTCAGTCTTGGCACTTACTAGTTCGAGGCAGAGAGCTGGGAGGACTTGTTCTCTCTCTCTGTGTCTCTCTGTCTCTGTCATTTGTCCTCACATAGCTTATCTCTGCATAGCAAGAGAGTCTGCACTTCCCAGGAAGGAAAGACCCTCTCTCCAAGGCTGCCTGGAGGCCACGCTATTCTCTGTGGGTTTGGAAGGCTGTGCCAACTTACCTCATTGTCACAGAGGGGCTTGACTCAGCATTGCCTGGGTCCCCTGGGAGCTTCCTCTGGGGCCTGGGTTTCTGCATCCTTGGACAGGCCAGCTATGGGCTGGCCCCGTGGTCAGTCAGGTTGCGATTGTCCAAGCAGTCCTGTGCCGAAGGAATCCAGTTAGCTGTTCCTCCCAGCCTCCCCGTCCAGGCAGTCCCATCTCTAACGCCCACAGAGTCACCTGTCATTCCTTGACGGACTGCGCAGTTCCCACCTGGTTGGCCGAGTGAGCCGTCGTCAGGCTGATAGGGTAGGGGGAGATGGTCAGCTGGGGAGAGCCGGGCTCTGGCCACCTTGCTGTGGGATGTCTCAGAGGCCCTCAGGCCCTCGACTTCCATCTGTAAGATGGGGTGAGGGTTGGCCAGATGGCCTGTGGTCTACAGCTGGCCTTAGTTCATTGTGAGAGGCCCAGTGAACTTGGCAGATAATTTGGATTGGACACAGGAGGAATTCTAGGTTTTCCCCGTTGTTTCCATGGGTCCATGTTACCAATGGGGAATTTCTGCCCTGGCCCATAAGCAGGCTTGTTGCTGGGAGTTGTAGCTGGTTGGCCCGACCCGAGGTGGGGGGTGGATAGATGGACTCCCAGCCCCAGCCCAGCGCTTCTGCCATTGGCCGTTCAAGCCATTGGCCCAGGCTCCTGTCTCCAGTAGTAAGTGGCTTTCTCCTTTTATTCCTGCCTAGCATCCCAGGTAGCCAAGTCCCCACTGTCCCCACATCCCCCCCAGGCTGGCCCCACCAGTCATTGGACTGAGGCACTTGAGTATTTCTCAGACCCAGTCACCCAGGGATCTTGTTAAAATGCAGGTTTGGATTCAGTGGACCCAGGCCGGGGCCTGAGATCTGGCATGTCTAACCGACCCGCAGGTGATGTAACAAGGCCGTCTTAGACCGCGCTTGGAGTAGAAGGGTGCTAAGTATGTTTTATCCAGTCTCTAGCCAGGCACTCAGCCTGCCCCAGATAGAACAGGGACTTGCCTTCCTCTCCGCCTGCCCTTAGTGGCCAGGACACCTGTTCCACTTCACTCCGCACGGCTCAGGAGGTAGGCCCTGCTGCTGGCTGATGGCATGGCTGGCAGCCCTCAAACCAGGGGTCAGGCCTGGGCCTGGGCTTCTCTCTCCTCCCGTATGTACTCACCTAGACCTCTCCCCACGTCGAGGCTAGGGTGAAGTCATGCAACTCTCAGGGGCACAATTGTAACTGAGTGTCTGCCGGGCATCACCGGCCATCAGGCTCTGAGTGGGGCCCACTCTTGCCCTGCTGTGTCCCGTGCCAGAGCCCTTTACACTCAGCAGCCGCTGTGCAGAGAGGGGAGGTGCCCTGAGTGGGGCGGGAAGCCTGGGTTCCAGCCCTGGCTCTGCCACCTACTGCCTGAGCTAGTCAATGTTCCTCTCCAGCCTCAGTTTCCCTGGTGGTCCAGTTAGGCTATACTAGGTGACCCTGGAAGATCTGACTCTGGAATGTGTTATAGGGCAAGTATGGAGGTGGGAAGGGCTTAGGATGTTAGAATTTCTTTCTTTCTTTTTTTTTTTTTGGAGGGGTTTTTGCTATAGGGCATGTATGTTTGCCAGAAAGACAGAGAGAGGCAAAAAACGAGAAATCACCCCCCGGGGGGATGGCCACGCTGCAAGGCCTTCTCCTCCATTCTCCTCTTGGGATCTTGGGCACGCACGCACACATGCCTGGCATGAGTTTAAACCACCTGGTCCTGGACTCGAACCATGGTAACTACATGGGAGTCCAGCGACATAGCCATTACACTATCTACTGGTCCCAGGATGTTAGGATTTTTATAAAAGGATGAGGAGCCACAATATGAGCCTAGCCCCTGCAATGGCCCTGTGGTCTGGCCTCTCTCTGCTCTTGCGAGTAGACCTACTGCCACTCCCACCTCCATTATGCTGGGTCGTGCCAGGGACTCCCGAGTACCAGTCACTGTGCCATGTGCTGGGGAGGTGGCAGAGAGCCCTGTGGTCTTTCCTGGGTCACATCAAGAGTGGAACCAGGGCTTGGACCCAGCTCTGACTTCTGCCCCACCACACCCCTCCCTCTGGTCATCAGACCGGGAAGAGGCTACTGGAATAGGTACCCACCTTGAGGCCTGGCATTCCCGCCTGCCTCGAACAAGTCAAGGCGATCATTCACTTCCAGCTGGTGAAGCGGACAGCCCTTTCTGGACTCTGCTGTGACCTGTTGCTCTCCAAATTCTGAAGATGAGCAAAGGCTGGAGAAGAAACCCCTCAACTGCCTCCCTGTCCACTCCTTGCTTGTAGGCCGGGGTGAAAGGTCACGAGCCCCTCAAGGACAAGATGGTGACTAAGTCCTCTGTGTCCCGGGCCTTGCACAGAGCGGGTGTGGGAAGGAATGTTTGACCAGCACACAATAAGCGCTCAGTGAAGATGTGTCGGGCAAAGGGCAGGCGGTTGGGGCTCAGCGGGAGAGGGGGCTTGACGTGGCCCCTTCCTTGAGCCTAACTGCTGGGAGGACGGTTGGGAACCCACCTACACTCTTCCCTGTTGCTGTCTCCCCTGCAGTCACAGGCTTCCTGGTCCCTCTGCCATTTGCAGCTGCAGCCAGGTGTCCTCCCCAGGACACAGCCACAGTGCCAATTAAGTGGGGACATCTCGTCCTACCTTCTAGCGTGGCGCTTGCTTGGCAGCGGACTTAATCACAGCCTCCGTGTCCTCCAGGCTGCCCGAGCTCACTGGCCGCAGGGCCCTCTGAGGAAGCACAGGTTCCCACCAAGCTCTCTGGGAGCCCCAGGCTGTGGGCAGTGCGACAAAGCTGAGCCTGGAAGGCCCTCTGAGGGTGGCGGGGACTATGGGGGTGGGAGCAAGAGGGCTCACTCAGCTCCTTGGAAAAGGTACCAGTTCTACACGGAGGGCAGGGCAGGGATTGGGGATGCTCAAAGTACACTTGGGGGAAAAAACATTGCAAATTGGCTGTTGAACCTCTGTCCTTGGCCTCCCAGACACAGATAGCAGAGATTCAATATTTGCACTGGGCCCAGATAAAGGCTAAGGACAGGAGTTCGATTTGGGTGGAGGGGAAGGAAGAGAAATGGCAGATACAGAGAGTCTCCCCAAGACCTAGCCCTGGGCTATCCACTTTAGAGACCTCACTTAGTCTCCAGAATGACCCTGTGAGGGGACGCCATTCCGATTGTGTGTCTGTAGAAATGGGGCTGGTTAAGCATGTGAACTGCCCTTTGATGCAAAGCCACTAGACGGCAGGGTTAGGATCCAATCCCTGGTCTGCTGGTCACATGGCTATGCTCCTCTCATACCTGGGAAGGTGCCTATGGGAGGTGGGTTGATGTTGGGGACCCCGAAGCTGGAGGGGGATAAGTGGTAGGCTGACCTCCCCGTCTGCTGCAGGCACTGGTTCCAGCATCCTCGCAGCCCTCCAGGACCTCTTCTCGGTCAGCTGGCTCAACAGGTCCAAGGTGGAGAAGCAGCTGCAGGTCATCTCCGTGCTGCAGTGGGTGCTGTCCTTCCTCGTGCTGGGTAAGCTGGGCTTGGCGGGAGATGGGCGGGCAGGCAGGGCCCACCTCCCAGCTGGGATTAGAGCAGGAGCTCTGAGCTGTAGGGATGCATCCTCCCATGGACTCGCCATGTTTGGGTCCAAGACCATATGCTCTAGCCCCAGGCCTGCAGGAGGGCTCAGTGAGATTGAGCGGGAGGTGGTGGCTTGCTTCCCAGCCTCAGGGCTCGGAGATGGTGAGTAACTCGCCCACAGGCACAGGGATTAGAATCTAAGCACCCCCAGGGCCTGTGCCTTTCCCACAGTGCCACCTTGCCCATACACACAGCTCCCAGCACGTGTGTGACTCTGTCTTAGGTGGTTGGTGCCAGGTTTGAGCCCTGATTCCACTACCGACAGGTTCTGTGGCAGTGCCCAGGTCGCTTGAGCTCTCTGAACGTTAGCTTCCTGTTTTTTGTTTTGTTTTGTTTTGTTTTGTTTTTAGAGTATTTTGCTATCAGGCGTGTTCGCTGGCCAGAAAGACAGAGACAGAAAGCAAGAAATCACCCCTTGGAGGGATGGCATGCTGCAATTCTTTCTCCTCCATTCTCCCCTTGGGATTTTGGGCATGTACACACAGGCACCCAGTGTGAGTTTAAGCCACTGGGTCTGGGACTTGAACCACAGTTGAGAACATGGGAGTCCAGTGACATAGCCATTAAGCTAACTACTGGTCCCAGTTTCCTGTTTTTGAATATAAAAATGCTGCCTGCATCCCATGGCTTTTGTGGGGTGGGAAGCAAAAAGTGGAGCAGCTTGCTCAGTTAGCAACTGGGCTGGGCTGGCCAGGCCAGGCTGCAGGGCCCAGGCTGTGGGAACCAGGGAGGAGGTCCTCAGCCCACCCACACCGAGCACATGCCCAGCTACTTCCCAGGCAGGAGTTTAATGACCCCTTCCACCTCCCAGCAGCGCTGCACCATGTCCCTGCTTTCGTGCTCTCCTGCAGGCGAGCTAGGTACCCTCGTTCCCTGAGCTGCCATCCTGGCTGGCAGAGGACAGCTGGGTTATCTGGAGGAAGGAAGGCCCCATGCTGACCTCTTTTCCTTCCTCAGGCCCCTGTCCTCAGCCCTGAGGACACACAGACCTCCGTGGAGCATCAGAGTCACCCCAGTTCCAGGGAGAGAGTGAGGCCCTCTAGGCCACTCAGGCTTCAAGACCATCGGGGTTGGGGGATTGTCAGAAGTTCCCACAGCTGGCCTGAGTAGCAATCCTCCCAGCAGAGGCCCAGTGAGGGCCTCTGAGCCCACATGTGCAGGGCAGGGAGATGGCAAGGTACACCAGGCCTGGGACCAATAGATGGTGTATTGGTTATGTCGCTAGACTCCCACCTGGTCGACTGTGGTTCAAGTCCCAGACCTAGCAGCTTGAAACTCACGCTGGCAGCATACATGCCCAAAATCCGAAGAGGAGAATAGAGGAGAAGGGATTACAGCGTTGCCATCCCGCCTGAGTGGTGATTTCTTGCTTTCTGTCTCTCTGTCTCTCTCTGGAGAGCTCACACACCCTAAAGCAAAAATATCTCAGGAAAAAAGAAAAAAAAGATCCACCAAGTCCTTGTAGTGTCTTTCTTAAAATCCCCACTGTTCCGGTGGGGACCTGGAAACTCACAGAGGCCCAATACCTACCCGAGCTATGAGGCTTCTTGAGTGGCAGTGCTGGGGTTTGAGCGGAAGCCCAGTGCACTCCCAGGAGCCCTGAATTAGTGGACCAGGGTCAAAACAGCCAGTCTGTACCTTTAGCTCCAAAAGTGGTCTTTGGGGTAGCCTATGAACCCCTAGAATTTAATATGAGGATATATGCACATTTTTCTGGGGAAAAGGGATTCTTACAGGGACATGTGGTCTCAACAAGATAAAGACACCCTAGTCCAGGCCACAGGGCACATTAAACTGTCTTTAATGTGGTTGACCACTTAGAATCCTGGGTGAGTCCAGTGTAGCCTCCCTGCACTCCTTGTTCAGATAGGAGGCAGGGGCCCAGTGGGGACAGAGCTCAGGGACATAGGAGAGGACTGTGAGACCAAGACTAGAACCCAGAGACTCCAGCCTCCCAGACACCTGCCCAGTCTGCCACACCAGCTTTTTTTGTCCCCAGTTACCCCTGGAAGCTGCCACTCTCCCTGTCTTAGTAGGCTGGAGCTTGGCCGGCGGGGAGTTGAGCCACTAGCAGAGCCCCAACCCAGGCAGGGTGCAGTGGGCCTGCCCCCGAGCTCTAGGTTAACAACCAGTCAGGCCCAGCCACAGCCCAGAAACCTGCCCAGTGTCTTCTCGACGCCCTCGAGTGGGTGGGAGCCAGGCTTGGTTGGACACGCAGGTCTCCAGGCTGTGCAACCACTGCCCTGAGCCGCCCGGCCGCTTCCTCCCACTGCTTCTCATACCTGCCGCTCCTCCTGCCTGGTGCTGCCAAGAGGGCTGTGGCCTCAGGGGCCTCCCTTTGCACATCTTCGCACCATCAAACCCTCGTGAAGACTACGGACCTTCCCGTAGTTTTTGTTGTTTTTTTTTTAAATTGCCTGACAGTGTGTGCACCCACCGGAGCGGGGGAGGGTAGGAGGGAGAAAACACCTCCCATGGGGCATGGACATGCCACAGTTCCTTCTCCATCCTCACGAATTTGGGCACGTGAACCCAGAATGTTTCTCCAGCTGCGGGGAGCCAGGGTTCAAACTACAGTTGGCCACGTAGGATCCGGCTCCCTTAACCACTGGGCCTCTGACTGCAGATGGGTTTGTTTGGTTTTGCTTTTTTGAGTTCATTTTTTTTCTTTCATGAGAGAGAGACAGACAGACAAGTCATGATGCTTTCTCCTAGGCTTTCCTAACCCACTCACATCACCGGCACCTGCTCACACACCCGCCATGACAAGTCGACCCAGGAACCAAACCCCGTCTCCTACATGGCCTCCAGCACTGCAGAGCACTGGACCACTGCAGCTGGACCCTCGGTGTTTTTAAACCCGTGACACAAAGCTCATTGGATGGCAAAGGGAGCCGGTGAACTGAAATATAAATACCTGCACTTTATCAAACCCAAGTAGACCTGCAGTGACACGTACGCATTGTATCATGACGTCAATAAACATCCAGCAGGCGGTGTAAATACTGGGTTGCCGGGAAAATCATGACACATTTTTGCATGGGAAAATACATCAGCTGGGTGCTGTCTTTTTCCTTAACGCCCACTTTGTGAAGAGCACTGGGCTAGTCCCATGCGTAGGCGGTGGGGAGGGTGTTAAACTTCCTGGGCAGCACCATCCTGGACCTAACGTTTGTGTAGTTCTTAGTAGTGATGGGAAGAAATGATTTTTCAAGGTCTGTGCCGCTGCAGGCTGGCTCCATTGTACGGTGGTAATGTATTGCTCAGGAGAAGCTGAGCTTGGATCCCCCATGGCGACCGCAATTCGAATCTCCAGCCTGGTCAGCCTGAAACACACCAGGCATATGTGCAAGTGCCCAGGATCTGACCGACTGGGGGCAGAGGAGCGCAGCATGGCCAGACCCTGTGTAAGGTGCTCCAGTCTCTCTTTTTCTCTCTCACATACACCCTGTTGTGACTAGAGAACTAGAGATACCTGGAACCGTGTACTGTGATTCGAAAATGCCCCTGCTGTGTGTTGGTGTCATGCCAGCAGGTGCAGCCAGCACTCCTGTGGTTCGTTATGTTCATAAGCGAAGGAAATGCTCAAGTTCCTTACGAGAGGAGTGGAAGTGTAGATGTCATTGTTTCCCTAAGTCCGCAGACTCTTTCTGTGTGTCAGGCTATGTGTTGGGTTCCTGTCCCTTCACTGCTGAAGGAGGCCATGCTGCTTCTACCAAACTCGAGTACCCCTTCCCCTGGTCCTGGACTGAGCGCCAGCATGGGGGCCTCCCTCCACCACTGTAAGGAGGAGTTTGGGCGCAACCGGGAGGGCCAGGCCTGACGGTGGCCGTCTGCCTCCTCCCCAGGAGTGGTCTGCAGCATCATCCTCATGTACACATTCTGCACCGACTGCTGGCTCATCGCTGTGCTCTACTTCACCTGGCTGGCGTTCGACTGGAACACGCCCAAGAAGGGTACGACGAGCGGGTCTCCCTCACCCACTCCCTCCTGCACAGGCCGAGTTCCTCAGCTGGGTGCTATCTCTTTGCTTAACGCCTGCTTTGTGAAAAGCACCGGGCTAGTCCAGTGTGTCGGTGGTGGCAGGACGCCACCGTTCTGGTCCTCGTAGGAGCTGGCCCTCAGTCAGGGCTGCACAGAGCACGAGGGACTAAAGGTGCAAAGGGGCCCACAGGCCGAGGGGGCGGAGACGCTGTGTGAGGTGAGAGCCACCCACCGTGGGGCTTCCGCTGGCTCTGCCTTGTGTGCTTTGCCCAACTGTCTCCCCATCGCACTTCTTTCCAACACTATTTTGTTTCCTGGAAGGTGGCAGGAGGTCACAGTGGGTCCGAAACTGGGCTGTGTGGCGCTACTTTCGAGACTACTTTCCCATCCAGGTAATGACTTGTGAGTGTTGTCTTGGGAGGGCGGAAATGGATGGGGAATTGGAATTTGGGTTTTAACCTACTCCTTTACAGTGATCACGTGTATTGAGTCAAACCATGTGGAATTTCTCACGTTTGTGTGTGTTTGTATAATTCCCTACTTCATGCAGAATTTGAGGGAACTGAGGATCCCCGTAGTGCCCTACTAGGTAAAGAGTAAAATCAAGGCTTGGGGGAAAACTACTAGTATTTCAGCCAGAAGAAGGAAAAAGTGTGGCAGGTGAGCTTTGCATTCAGCTTTGAGCTTCCTGGCAGCCAAGGCAAAAAGGGAAACATGGTTGTTGGCTTGTTTTGGGAAAGGAAAAAACATATTGGTTCTTTGGGGAAATAACACTTGTTCTAGTATTTAGATATAAAAGATGTTTCACACACCAAGAGCTCAAGTAATGGCAAAGACGAAGTGTGGTAGCATATGTTATGGCCAACGCGTGTCTGCCCCTCAGCGGATAGGGCATAACTTCAAATGGAGGTTATTTGTCAACCGTAGTAATAAGGCAGTCCAAGCATATCTGGCCTGAACAGGCACAGAACTTAAAGCATTAGGTGTAAGGAGCTTTCTTACATTACAGAGTTCTGACGGAAGCAGCCCCTCTCAGTCAGTTGCTGGGAGTTGTGCTGTGGGAATAAGGGCTCAGGCAGTCTGATGTGCAGTGAAGGAAGGGTGAGACCCTGGAAGCCGAAGTGGTTGGATGGACTGCTAGAGGACACGCTCCTTGAACTTTGTCTTGAAGGACACTAAGGAGCGCCGAGGAGTTGGGGAAAACAGCACAGGTCCCGAGTCTAAGAAGCCTGGGATTGAGGACAGGGAGCATACCTGTTTACTAGGAGACTTCCAGGAGCCAGCACCTTCCCCCAGAGAGTCTCCTTGAACCCTCACAGTATCCCATAAGACAGGCAGAAACTTCATCCCTGTTTTGCAGAAGAAGCCTAGGGTTTGAGAGCAGCAAAGCTGAATGGAGCTGGGACCTTCAGCTGTGATTCCAGCTGCTGGGGCGCCCATGAAGCTGTGATGTCTCAGAGCCAGACTCTTCCCAGCACAGCACGGGGCCACCATGCAGCAGAGCTGCGGGAAATTGAGGCCGCCAGGTCCTCAGGCTTCCTACAGGCCGTGATGGAGACAGGAGAAGCCCAGCGTGCCCCTGGGCAAGGCCTGCCTCTCCAGGACACTGCTCCTCTTACAGAACAAGGGTAGTCCAAGGTGGTCTAAACTCTCTGGGTTTCCTTCCTGTGCCGTCAGCTCCTCTGGGGTTCCCCCACGCTGCACTTCTCTGGACTGACCCCAAGGTCCCGACCAGGTAAATGGCAGCTTAGTTGGCCTCCGGTCCTGGCTCTTTCTGGCTCCCAGCTGGTCTGCAAGCTGGGCTGGCAAGGCAGGGCTGTCTGGGCTTGGGTGCATGTGGGTATGTTGGCAGGCTGTGGATCACTCCCGCAGAATCCCAGAGGGGCAGGACCTGCCCGACCAGCTCTGTCAGCATCCCAGCCTGGCACGCCCTGGCCTTGGTCACTAACGTAAGCCAGCAGCAGGCAGTGGGGCTGGAGTGGAGGCGGCGTGATCAGGTTTGGAGGTGCACATTTGTTGTTATGAGTCAGCCCCTGAGACATCCTGGCATGCTACCTGGGAGAGGTGGCCAGGTAACCCTATGTTCTCCCCCCTGAATTTGGCAGTGTGGGTGTGGCCCCAGAGCTAAGCTGAAGCCCTGTCTTCTCAGGACCTTCCTGCTCCTCCAGGTCAGGGGTCCCACACCTCCCATTTCCTGATCCCATCCTTCTCGCTGAAAAGAATCGGAGGCTGTGGCTGCTGGAAGGGCTTGTACCACAGGACCACCCCTCTCATTTGGAGTGAGGAAACTGAGTCCCAGGGAGGGGCAGGGACCCGTCTGAGCTGCACAACAAGTGGGCGACAGCATTAGCATTAGAATCCAGGCTTCTCGACCAAGGCCCAGGTTCTTTCTCACTGAATTTCTACTGCCTGTTTCTCTGGAGAGACGTAACCCCCGGGTTTTGCGTTGAATCAACTCTGTCCCTGGGTCTCAGTCTCCCCTCCTTGCACGCTGTTAATCCCTGCTGTCACCTGCCATCCTTGCTTCCTGGCCGGTGCTGGCTCTGCTTTGGCCATGGGGTTGTAGAAGTCTGCCTCTGGGTCTGGGTCCCTGTCCTTGGAGTGGGCTCACCGTCTAAGGAGGCCT